GGGCTTTTGAGTGCATGCGCTAAAATAAGCCCTCCCCGAAAATATTGCAACACAGCAGCACCCATGAGGTGACCACGCTCGCTGCCTCCTGCACCTCAACATTAGTAAGACCTCCCCAAAAATAGGGCTAATCACTTATTTCAGGGGTCAAAAGAAAATAAGACCCCTGAAAATAAGACAGAAAATAATAAAAAAATAAGACTTATTTTCTTTTGACCCCTGAAATAAGTGATTAGCCCTATTTTTGGGGAGGTCTTACTAATGTTGAGGTGCAGGAGGCAGCGAGCGTGGTCACCTCATGGCTGCTGCTGTGTTGCAATATTTTCGGGGAGGGCTTATTTTAGCACATGCACTCAAAAGCCTGATTGGACTTTTTATCTGGGGAGGTCTTATTTTCAGGAAATAGGGTAGCAGCCCAATCTTTCTACCCTTTGGGGAATTTATGAAGTTCCTGGTCAAATAGGGAGAATATTTGTTCCTTTCCTAATTACTTAAGTGTTTAATTTTCAAGGAGCTACAATCAATCTCTGTTTCTTTATTATCTTCCCAGTACTTGTCATGCTTAAAGCAGGAATGTGATTCTCAATGATCCAGTAGAGATAATTGAGTCCCTGGAAGAGCAACTTGGTATCAGATGAAGTACAGATAGGTGATGGTTAAGGACAGGTGGATGTCTAAGGTGGCAGTGTTGACTCATAGGGCCGTTTACCACAACACATTTTGGAAGACATTTTGCTAAGTGTTTTTGAGGACAGGTTCTCATGATGTTGACTTTGTGTCATTCTCACCCCACTGATGAAAAAGTGATATTATTTTCCCCATGTGGACAATGTAGGACATCAGTTTGCTCATTTCCTGTTTGCTGGGCAAGCATGTGGCAGACATGCTTATCCTCTCCTCCTGTGTATGGCACCTCCAGTTTGGCTTTTCCTGCAAGAAAGACTGGATACTGTTGTTTTTTTGTTTACACTGGTCTATCACACTCTCGGGAGATCAGGAGCTCTATCATCCAAGGAATTGGTTTGTGTGGGCATTACTTGTGTGCTGTGGAGTACACAAAATAGATGTGGATGAAATATAGTCACGCACACACCAATGTGGAATGGGAGTGGGAGAAGGAAGAGCTTTTTGCGTGACCACAAACAATTCTCAGAGGAAATTAGCTTCAGGAGGGTAAAAGGAAAGTCAGATCTAACGGTGCTGAAAGCCCTCTGATTCGGAATTCTCTACTTTGAATTTCAACTCAGTTCTCCCAATCTCTTAAGAAGGCTTTGGGGGATGGGGATTGTTTGATAGAAATGTATCAGACTTCTAGTACTCTGACAAAACTATTTCCAGGAAGATCAATAGTCCTGGTCAGAAGAAACACGGAGTAAATAATCAGACACTAAAGATAAATAATAACAGTTAAAACTTGAACCATCAACCCCCTTTCCATATATTCAGGAGAGCAAATGATTGCTGGTATTCCAATTGGTAGACAATTCTGCACAGAAGACTAAATATTGGCGGGGGGAAATCCTCTAACTGTCCTGAAACTACCCCTTATTACCCCTGGGAAGGGCAGCCACACTGTGCAGCCTCGTCTGTGAAAGATGTGAGAGGTAGGGTTCAATGTTGATATAGCCCAACTTAAGACTAAAGGGGAAAGCTCATTAGTGTGACTATGGGGAATGGCCAATAGAAATACAGAGTTGAAAGAAGTTACCATCAAATCAAATCCCTCCTTAGTGTAAGAATCCAATTATTCCTTGAAGATGGCTCTCAGGACTTCATATTAACACTTCCAGAGAGGAGAAATTGACAGTGCTCTCCAGTGATTGATCTCATATCCAATTGTTCTTACTTTTAGAAAGTGCTTTTAATGTTCAATGAAAACCTACTCTGCCATAATTGAAAACCATTATTTCATGTCTTGCACTTTGAGGCAGCAGAGACAATCACACACCTTGTGATATTATTTTGAGTAATTTCAAGAGTGCTGTCA